AGCAACCTAGTCTAGTGGAAGGTGTCTCTGCTCATGGAACTAGATAATCTTTAAGGTCCCTTCCAGCCTAAACCATTCTATGATTATATGACAAGTCAGTCTTCTTGCTTGAATCCTTCTCGCTTCTCACAGTAACTGAGGTACCTTCTTTCAATGGTTTGGATCTGCTTACTGGAAGGGTATACACATTACACACTCTTCCAGAAAATTACCACTCCCTCCCTCAATCTCCATGTGTCCAACTGCTTTGTACTGCTCCTGAGAGCCTTGCTCTGTTTGGATCTCTCTGTATTCAAGAGTCTGAAAATTTGGATGGTTCCCAGAGATGAGACTGTCCCAAGCTGTGCAATACACTGCAGATGCCAGGCATACTTGTAACTGAACAGCCTACCACATCACTTTGAACAGCCCAAAAGTCACTAAGACACCACAGGCTCAGGTAATAACTGAGTGTCTTCCCATTTACAAGACTGTGATAGTCTCTTAATTATGAGACAGACATATGTGGAAAAATGCACTTCTAGCTGCTTTATAGAAACATGGGACACATGGAAAAAATGCAGCTTGTTGCCTTTGTGAGTGGCCTTGCCCAAGTCATTCATGCAGGTCCACAAGACCAGTGGCGACTTTTTTTCTTGAGACCTTTGACTCAAAGGCAGAGCTATATGCCAATGGGAACTACATGCTGAGAGGAAGAACGCTTCAGAGTAGAACCAATTGTAAAGAGTGGCAGCCTGACACCCTGCTGCAATGAATAAGACAGAGTTACATTTGCAGTTTAAGATCTCTAGAAACTATATACTTTGATATAATTAACCCAAACACTGCTTAGACATCTTTCAAGTGTTCTCTGAGTGCACCCCAAAATACCAGCTGCAAGATTCTGCTAAATACAACTGACTTATTTTCACTTGCAAGATCAACTAAAACTTAGACCTTCCATATACAAAAATAAGACAAACATTATCTCAATGTTTACTAAAAGGTTTTAATTGTATACTGCTATTAATAATATTCCATGGAACCTAAGCACTTTTATGCAAGACCTTGGAAGTCCAAACAGCATTTCCACAGTCTATTGCAATGTCAGAAAGGTAGTTATTTCTTACATAATGGGGGAAAAGCTTTCAGGGCAAACAGCTTTAGCCCTCATGCTTAGCTAGCAGAGCTAGATCTCTGCACCACACACTTCTGAGGTGGATCCCATGGAAATAAAGGTTTTTGGTTTTTTTTCTTTTACAAGTGTAGAATTCACACATAGACATTGTTTTCAGATCTTCGTAAATTAAGTCAGCAACTATGCTGCCCTGAATGGTTTCCTTCCTGATTGCTGCTGTCACATACATTTACATGCTTTTGCACTAGATCAGTTCTGTCTGAGCAGAACTGAGCTATTTTCTACAGCATCAGGTATGTCCTTCTGTGTGGAAATGGCTCTTGCCACTTGCAGTGTCTTCTGCATTCAATATCCAGAGCTGATGCACAGTTCTGCCTCTACTGCACAGGACTGCAAAACACTACTCATAATGAAATAATTATCTTTAAAAGGACAGATACACTACAATCCCAGCTATCCTGCAGTGCAGTATGAGACAGCTGCTCTTTGAATAGTGTTTCAGGTTCTTCAGCTGTAAAGCCAGGCAGAGAAATGCTTAGGTTCAAAAAAGTGTAATAGGTGAAAAAATACAAAGTATTCTTTCACACAGACACTTTCCCCTCAACTATTACTACTTTCATGGATTTACATACACCACACAGTGCCATATAGATACAGGTTGCTCAGGAAGACTTCAAATAGTTCCTTTAGATCCCCAGCTCACCATTGTGCTGATGCTAACCCAAGTCTCACATTTATTCTTAAAAAAATATGGTAGTTGCCAGGTTGTTCCAGCATATAGTCACATTGTTCTGGCTTGCCTACAATCATTTGTTTGCCACAGGAAAGATAAGAAGCTAACATCTTCCATGCCAGTACTAAAGATGGAAGCGAGTAATTTCTTACGTTGTTCTGGCTTGCCTACACTCATTTGTCTGCACAGGAGAGCTAAGTAGTTACCATCTCCCAGGCCAGTACTCAAGCTGGAAGTTTTTTATCCTCCATAGTGGTGGAACTGATCTCCATCTGCTATGAATTCTAACATAACCTGCTCTCCCTTGTTTGAAGATAAGCATCACTGTTAAAGCCCCAAACCCTGCCTGCTTGTACTACCTAAATAAAAAATCCACCCACCAATTTGAATTCAAAGACATCAGGCAATGACAACTCTCCCTTGGGCATCTGTTGTGCAGGTTAGTCACCTCACTATTAAAGACGCATGGCAATTTGGGTTTGTCTGCTCCAACTTTAGTTGGTACTTCCACCTCTATACATCAAAGCTTCCTGAACCCCAGATACATTACAGACCTGTGGTTACTTTTACAGCTTATGCCTGGAATCTTGCAAAATACAATCATGCCTGCCACTGCTTTTAATCTCCATCTCCTTTATTCCCTGAATCAGCTAGTCCATATTTTTTTTTCCTGGAAATTTTGATTAACTAGTCTGTCATTATTCATATTTTGCCATTGGTCCTTTATATGTAACCACACCAAACAAGAACCTTCCCAAATCTCTTTTCCCTTCCAGTAACTCTTTCAAGTTTAACACACAACTGAACTCTTCAGCTAAATCTGCTGATAACCAGTCACAAAAGTTATAAAATTTCTCATTGAATATGTTGAAAACCATACTTAACACATAAAGGAAAATAGCACTCTATCGGTGTACATGACTAAGAAAAAAAACAGGTGCCGAAACAGAACACTAGCTTTTATCAAATGCTATTGGATTGTTAAACACCAACATACTTCTACAATGACAGATCAATATGGCAACTAGATCTTTTTTCACTCCTAAGGTACTAACTACCTTAAGCTATGCTACTCACAGATTTTTTCCTCTCTCTGTTTTTAACATTTCTATCAACTCTTCTGAATGTTAGACCTCTAGGGTTTTTTTATATACCATCTTTATTGTCTCCTCTACTATGTCCTTCGTACAGAAATCTATTTCCACTAGCTTTACTTGCCGCTGAACTAAACACATTATGTTAACTAAATTCCTCATTTTTTTCTCCTCAATGAAAGGTGTAGGAGAGAAGCAGTTCTCTGCCTGCCCACTACTACCACTGCTTACATGTAATGTCAAACCTGTGAGGCTTTACATTTAAGGACTGTCAAATAAAAGAGATTTCCATTACAGGAAAGAAATAATGCAACTGAACAAAAGGCAAGCCATGTAGCTCCTCACAGCCAAATTCTGTTGAGGTTGGGAGCAGGCACACTTACTTTTTGAGGTGTAGGGACAATTTTATTTCTCAGAACAGTTAAGCTATCCTGCTTGTCACATATAGTTCTCTCTCTCAAAAACAGAAAGTGACAATGACATGAGTCTTCTATATCTTTTTAAAAATATATATCTTTTAAGAAAAAACTGTAGGCTGCTCATTCAAAACTGCAGCACATAGATTTACGACCACACAAAGTAGCAGGTTTCCTAGCAACAGATTTGCCTTGAAACAGTTTCTGCTTTGAAAATTGCTGCAGTAGGGTCTAAAATTAAAATCTAATAAATAAATAAATAAATGAATAAATCAGGCCCTATAAAATAGAAAAGAATAGCAGTTGCACATAGAAGCATTTTCCCCTAAGCAGTTATTTTCTCGGAAGCATGGAGTTGCTGAAAGTATATGCCTAAAAGCAGATACACAGTATCAACATAAGCAATTGAAAGAAGACTGACTATAACTAGTGAGACTAACTTTAATCAATCACTTCCACAACAGAAGTAGCTTCCAGTCAGGAACTACACCTAAAATGACAGACAGTGTAATAAATTCTAGACTTCTAATCTTATATCATCTCACCATCGCAAACTGATTTATTTGGAATTCCACCTGGAAAGGAAATAATTTATCAAGTTGTCATGAAAATGTGTCGCTACTCAGTGCAATCATGGTACCCTTTTAAACACATACACACAGGTAATTTAAATTGATAGCATTCAGCACATACTTAGAATTCCTGTGATGTGACTATTATACTTATGTTGTAAATGCCAATTTACAAAATAGAGAAATATTTTCCAATATATGAAAAAACTAAAATATACTCACAGGACAGGCAGTGGACACTACTTTCCTCTGCAAAGCTTCCCAGCTCTAACCCGAGTTCCTGAGCCTAGCACTTTCCAGTGCTGTGTCTACAGTATTTTCTTAATATTTGTACAGAAGAACCATCAAAAGATAAGAGAACATTTGCAACTGAGCCAGTACTAAATAATTTGCTTCAGGTACCTGCCAGTTGGAAATACAGTTATTATGGAAGTTGCAATGTTGTTGTAACACAGGACTTTGAACTACTTCACCTTTGACACTAAACTAGGAGACAAAGAAGTTACTACTGCACACATGCCAAATTTTCTCCTTAAAAACAGGCAGTCTGACTTGGGATGCCATCAGATTTTTTTTTTTTATTTATTTTTTTATATATGACTGCTGCATACCACATGCGATGGGGCTGAGGCTGCAACTTTGAGTCACAAGCATGGAGGTTCTCAAGTGACCCAAGGGCTCCCCAAGCACCCCTTCAAAGACTCACACCCGATTCTGCAGCAGCATGCCAACCCAAGAGCCTTGGTACCACTCATGAGGCTGGCACTGCAGCATGTTCCAGAGTAGGGTTAGACTCCTCTGCAAACCTGCTCCATCAGATGGGAGGAGAGTTTGAAAGCCCAGAGGACAGGGCACCACTGCTTCATGTGCAAGCCTTGCACACGCCCTGACTGCCCTGGGATATGTAAAGGGGCTAGGCCACACAAGGAAGCACAGTGGAGGCCAGTGGCCGCTCCAGATGCATTCAGACAGGAGCTAGTCCCCTCCCCATAAGCCTTCCAGGGGCTGACATAGCCCTAGTCCTAATACCTAGCCTGCAGGGGATGAGAACAGGAGCACAACACTTACTTTATCTTTCATGGCAGAGGGGACAGAGGTCGCCATATGCTTGGAGCCCTTGTTGAGCTTCTTGCCCGTGCCATCACTGCCACTGCCGGCCTCAACCTTGATGAGCCGGTGCTTGGGGGAGATGTACTTCACGTCCGGTGGTGTTGCTGGGCGGCGTTCGCTGTGGCTGCGAAAGAGGTGCGGGGAGCCAGATGCACAGGTGGGGGGGGGCACGGTGCTGCACGACGAGGAGGAAAAAGCCTTTGGGGTCGCCCCACCCAGGTCCTCGGGCACAGAGTAGTCGGGGCGGCACATGGCGCGCAACTTGAGCAGGGAGGAGCCGGGCCCGCTGTAGGGGTCCTCGAAGTCACGGTCTTTCTGGGCACGATAGGCACGGAGCAGGTCGCTGGTGTCGTCGCGCAGGCAGCGGTGGGGAAAGCCGGGCGAGGTGTGGTGGTGGAGGTGCAGGTGCGGCGGCCCGTCGGGGCGGGGCACGCTGCCGGCACTGTTGCGTTTCTCTCGGTAGTCGGGCCGCGGAGGCTGCGGAGGGCTCTTGGTCTTGTTATTGCCCACGCTGAAGAACTTACTCATCCATTTGGCCATCATCTCTCCCGGCTGCGGGCCCTCAGCACCGCCCGCTGCTCCCGGCGCCCCACTCGCCCGACCCGCTCCCCGCCGCCGCCCGCATGGAGGAGCAGGGCGGCGGGGCGGGCCAGACACCCCCCTCCGCGCACTCGCCTCTACCGCTGCCGAGGACCGGAAGGGCCCTGCTTAGGCCCCCGGCTTCCCAGCGGCCCGCTCCCGGCCCGCTCCAGGCGCTCAGCCGCAGCTCCGCGCCCTCCCCCGCGGCCCCGGGGCTCTCGCGAGCGCAGCCCCCGCTCCTCCACGGCCGCAGCGGAGCCCGGACTGACCTCAGCACGCACCGGGGAGGTGAGAGACGCATCTGCAGGCAGGCCCCGCCGCCAGGGCCCGCCCACCGCCGCGGCCGGGGCGGGGAGAGCCGGGCGG